TCAAAACATAAAAAAAATAAAACCACCTTTGGGGTCTCAACAGGGCCCCACTTAGTATGTTACTTTACAAACTTGGATTATCAATTCTTGTCTTTTTTACAGGTTCTGAACGTTGCAAAGTTTGAAAAATGTCCCACCAACAAATCTCAGATGATGACATTGTTTGGATGCTGGATGAGTGTGATTAGGTGACTCGAATGAGGTCTTGAGTGAATCTGATGAAGAATTTATTCCACAAGGAGATGCATCTGAAGCAGAAGACAATCTTGAAGTGAATTCTGAGGAAATGACATTGCCAGCAAAAATTCTGATGGAGATTCTGCTGAAGATGAATTCATTACAAAATCAGGAAGAAAATGGACTAGTTTAGTGCCCCAGTGACTTGTTGTCGCCGATGTAACATTGCCAGAGGATCTCCTGGGCCAAAGTCCACAACTAATGCCGCAACCACTATGTCCAAACTTTTCAACATGTTCTTTGATGACCAAATTGTAGATGCTATCTGCACCTTCACCAATGCTGAAATATCATATGCTGTTCATGATTTCAATGCAAATGAGAATTTGGATAGGTATAGATCCTGTGGAAATAAGAGCATTTTTTGGTGTCCTGCTGATTGCTGGTGCTCTTTGATGCTGAAAGGAAACAATTTCTGAAATGTGAACAACAAATGAGAACATTCGCTGCGCAGATTTTACTGCTGCCATGGCACAGAACAGATTTGCACACATCTTTCAGTTTATCAGGTTTGATGATAAATCAACATGTGATCAACAAAGGTGTTATAGTGGAATTCACCTATTCTATAGTTAATAGACTCTCCCACCTATAATAAGTAGGAGTAGTAAGAGTAATGAGGAGTCGCGCAGTGAGTCGCTCAGTCGATGTCGGACGACCGTTAGTCGGATACTAAAGTATCAGCAACCGCAACTAGATTACTCTGCGTCATTACCCATTATATCAAGTTCCTAATGTTTTGTACGTCGAACCTATTTTAGGACCGACTTAGTACAAACACAAGTCTCCACTGTGAAACCACTCCATAACAAAAGGGCAAACAATAAACTTGCAGCTATACATGATGTTTTGGATTGGTTTGTAGAAAATTGCAAGAAGCTTTTCTAACCATTTGAAGACATTACAGTAGATGAGCAACTAGTTGCATTTTGTGGCAGATGTCCAATAAGGTAGTACATGAAATCAAAACCAGCAAAATATGGGATCAAGTTTTGGGCAGCTGCAGACATGAAGGCGTCATATTTGTACAACTTGCAAGTCTATGCTGGAAAGCTTCCAGGAAATGCACCAGAAAAAAATTTGGGTAACTGTGACTTGATGGAATGTTGTTTGAATCTGATAGAAATGTGACTACAAATTTTTTTACATCTGTGCCAACTGCAGAATTTTTGTTGTAGAAAAACATTACTATTGCAGAAACACTGAGAGCAAAAAGCTTGACATTCCTGCAATGAATGAAACTGCAAAAGGAAGAGACCTTTTGTCATCGAAATTCATCTTCTCAGACAGGGTAGCAGTGGTCAGCTATGTCCCAAAGAAAAACAAACAGTTTGTGTACTTTCCACTGAATTTCTTGATGATTCAGTATCCAATGAAAGTCACAAGAAGCCAAACATGATACTTGAATACAACAACACAAAAGGCAGGGGTGGAAAATGCAGACAAATTGGTAAGAAAATATTCTTGTACCAAACGTACCTCAAGATGGCCTCTGAAGGTTTTCATGAACATGCTAGATATTAGAGCCCAAAATACTTTCATAATTTGTATATCAAAAAACAAAGACTGAAACCGCCTCCTGAAAAATTGCAGATATCAATTCTTATTGGAGTTAGGCATGGAACTGACAAAGCCCAACATTCTGCACAGGGCAAACAATCTAAATGGTCTTCCTCTTCCAGTTGTCAGAGCCATTGAAACCGTAGGAGTATTTGTTGTTCACAACACTGCAGCCCAAAGCACACCATCAACATCAAGGCAGCAGCAGGCCCACAAGAGGGAAGATGCTCCTATTGTCCTAAAAACAACAATCGGAAAGTCAGCACAATCTGCTGTGAATGCAAATGTTTTGTCTGTGAGACACATAGGAAAACCAGCACAACTGTGACATGTGATAAGGACTGTAGCAATAGCAAAAGATGAATCTGTATAATTGTTATACTAGAACATACCTATTCTATTGTAAATAGACTCTCCTAGATATAATAAGTAGTAGTAGTAACAGTCGCCAGGGCTCAGAGTGAGTTGGTTGAGTCAGTTGATGTCGGACATTAAAGTATCAACCGCCACAACTAGATTGCTGCGTCATTAACTATTATTTCCAGTTCCTAACGTATTGTACGTCAAACCTCTTTTAGGACTGACTTAGTGAAATACAAGCCTCCACTGTGAAAACTACTCTACAACAACTATTTCTTTTAATGAAATTATATAGCTTGTTTTTTATACCATATTCAATCAGAATGTAAAAAACACTTTTATGAATAAGAGTATATGGATTATATTTTGTTTACTATTGTTACTGTTGAAATAAATAAACAAAATATTGTTGAACAAAATATGCTGAAATAGAGTTTCAGAAACCCAGAAAACCTATTTTGAGTAAAATCTACCACAACAAATACTGAGAAATGAAAGAAAAACTGGGGTCTTCCAATGACCTCTAGCTTGGTAAACAACATTGACAACCTACACTTGGTATGTTAAGTGTTAACACAAGAACTTTCTGATATGAACTCTTTGAATACTGTATATTTTAAGAGATATAAAATTTTATTTACTTGTAAAATATATCTTTGTATTAATTACCTTTGCATGTATTTTTAAAAGGCCAAAAATTGGTGTATATTTGGATTAAGGACATTATCTGATGATAATCACCTGTAAACTAAACACATAACCCCTACATTGGTGACCTCCACATTATCAAAAAATGTAAAAGTTCAATATTGTTCACCTGATATAAGGCCTAAGTGCTACTCAACGTAGAGGGTTACTGAAGAAGGAGGTTGTTGTAAAAAGGCGTAAGGAGGAAGTGAGATGTACAGATTTATTATAAGGATAGATAACGATTGACTTGGAGAGATTAAAATTGTAGTAATCAGGGAACCATTCCATCAGGAGTCTGTTCCAGAAAGTAATAGTTATGGAAGAAGATGTCTGAGTGGAACTTCATTTACGAATGGAATACAAAGGATATTAATACATGGCATGGCGGCGGGGAGTAAGGAATGCAACTCATCTGAACATTTGCCACGAAAATATCAATAGAATAGCAAGAGGCTCTATTTGGGAAAGGAGCTAGAGAGTGGGATATAAAAATTCATCACCCACAAGGCCGCGTAAATGCTTTTGCTCTGTCAACGTTGAAGAATGAGGATGAGAATTAAGAAAATAGCTCAGTAACTTGTTGATCTTTAAAAGAAAAAAGCAGCTATTCAATAGCACTTTTTGTGTTTCTGCTTGGATTCACAAACTCTGTAATTTTCAAGGTCAAAATAGATTTTAAAACAGTTGAGTTTTTTTTACTTTTAAGTTTTTTAACACAAAATAGTTGAAATCTTTTTTTTAGTGTGTTTGCGTGCGTACATCTGTGTGCTTAAAAGACGAAAATTATTTTTATCAATTGCTTTGTGTCGTAACTAAATTTTATGCACACTCCTAGACAAAAGTTTTTTTTAAATAAAAAAAATTAAATTTTTGCGTGCATAAAGGAAAGGTCATGTCATAACTCCTATGAATTCATTTTATAACCCGTAATCATTTTGTTTAATATTAATTTACGAATTAAAAATTATTTGTTTCTAACCATTGGAACGGCTGGGTACTTAACATCAGTTCTGTTGTTGTTATTGTTAGGATCACATACTTGCTTGTTCTGCATCATCTTAAAAGAAAAAACTTTTTAAAACTTATTTCCCAACATCAACACGTGTTTAAAGGGAGATAACTAATAAAGATAACGCGCAAAATTAACCGATTACAATTCTAAAATTGATTAAAATAAAAAGAAATTTAACTTACACGAAAACCACATTTTTTTTCAAGATTTTTCTACTTTATATATGTTAACATAGAATTCAGTTAAGAATAATTCTTGAAAACTAACTCTGTCATTTTAATCCGGTGACATATTTAAAAAAGGGATATACTGAAAGCAAGGTTCGGTTGAATAAAAATAAAAACTGTAATTGTGGAAGTGAAATCGGAACATTGTACAAAAATACCAATTTAATTACCTTGTTAATAACAATGACGCTTTAAAACGAAAAATTAATTAAACTTTTTTATTAACTCAACTTGAAATTTTAAAATGTACAACTAATTAATTTTTTGTATAAAATGTGTGTATGTTTTTGTTTTAAACGTCAAGTGAATTACAGAATAATTCAGGTTTTGTAAATAAATGATAAAAATAAACCAACGTCTTCGTTAATGAATTTATAAAGTTTTAATTATTTCATATTTTTATGAAGGGATAATTTCACATTTAAATGAAAATCATACCTTTTATTTTCTCTTTTCCATTACCGTTTCATTTGCGCGAGGTGTAAGGTTTCTTTACCGTCTCCATTTCAGGGTTTATATTCACCCAATCATTTGGCGGCCTTTCCGAATATACGTTAGCCGTTTCTGTTGATCACTATATATCGGCAATAACTATGGATAATAAATTATTGTCAAGATTTCAGGATTGCATTTCAAATTTGAACGGTGAAAGTAAAGATGATTTGAAGTTCGAACTTTTCCAAGATTTGACGCTGTACACCATCAGGGATGTATCACAATACACGGACATCGAGGAATTGCAGAAGATATATCCAATAAGGATTCCTTTAATTGTCGGATGTTCTGGTAGAAAGAATAAAATTGTGTCGGAATCTCTTGCAAGAGACGATTCCCGTAACAGAACCAGATCGAATCACTCCGATGAAAACAACAGTGTCGACGATAAAAACCTTTACGAGGGCCAACCTCTCGAAATGAACGTCTATGCCGACCTTTCGGGCATCGATTCGGCGAACCTTAACTCACCCGTTTTCGTAAAAAAAGACAAAACTGCTTTTATTCCTGTTCGTCTCTCGTACGCATACAGACTTTTGTCCGCCTACAGTTCACTTATGCTGTCTTCAGACCTGGTTAAAGACAAAGAACAAATGCCACTTTTGCTTTATTGTACAGGAGAAGATTTCTACCGAACAGTTTATGTTTACATCAACCCCATTACCGTCGAGTCGAAAACAGTTTTGAAATACGTACGGATTTCAGTCGAAGAAGCTAAAGACGTTCCGACCATAACCGCAACCCGTCTTCCGGATTTGCGGCAACTCTCAACATTGGCCGAATATAAGGTTTACGATGGTAGCCGGTCATATAATAATGCTGTCGTTGAGAGGCCCAGTCGGATAATTCTTGAAGCAGAATGGGGTAAGTCTTTTACCTTTCTTGAAAAACCTGCCCCCAATTCGAAAGTGTCAGTCAAGGCTAAAATCATCCCTGGGGACAGAAACAGCCCAACATATCCTAAGTTCCAGGAGCTTTGTGTTCTGAAGGGTTTCTTTGAAGGCCTTGGGAAAGGTGAAGTCAGGTGGTCAGCCAAAGAAAGAGATGACAATGTTGTGATGGAAAACCTGAAGATTCTCTTTGAACAGTTAAAACTGGGCGACGAATATATTAATGATGACATCGAAAAAAACCGTGATGAAAATGATATCCCTCAGAATACATTGGTCATAAATCGCAAAGATCAGGATTTCACTGACAAACTTTGGAATGTGCTTATCGGCTGTACAAGCTACTCAGAGCTTATTGACTGTCTAGATTTTATGCTGTTGGAACTGAGGAGCAAAAATCTTCAGCCTCTTGTGCACAAGACCAACAAGACAAGAATTGCAGAAATTGTGCGAAACTCCTATACAAACGAATTTTGCTTCCCAGAAATGGAAGGTCTCCTGCCTCTCAAACTGCTGATTGAAATTGGTATTGAGAAGCTTCGCAATGACTATGTTAGCATACTGATGGCAAATGAACTGACCACCGCTGACCAGTTGCTTTACTACACCGACCGAACTTGCACGCTCCTGGAGAAAATGGAGAGGCTGGAGAAGTTGCACAGTGTTTACGAACTGGTGATAATGCTAAATTTCTATCTTAAGATATCTGAATCCACTCTCAGCTTTGCAGCTCGCATGGCCCTCAGCCATTTTCAGAAACAGTTGCTAGATGATAATCACACGTTTATTCTGCCCGTCTCGCCTGCCAGTGTTGCGAACTTTCTCAAGAGCAGCCAACCTTATTTGTGGAAGATCTCACTTGATGATCCCAAAGACCAAACCAAATGTGCAGTGTATGCATTCTTTGAAACCCTACCATTTGATCACATTGTTATGAAAGAGGATTATCCAGAAGACCTTAGCTACTACCTTGTAAAGCTGCAGGAGCATTCAATGATGTTATAAAATATGGTTTCACATTCAAGATTTGGGGTCTGCAAAGGACATTGAGTTTGATTTTCAAGATGGAAGTATGCTTTTATATAGAAACTGTATTTCACTCATGCAAATTTAGTGTTATATATGTTATTTATTGGGGGTGAATCAAATTTATTTTCCTTTTTTAATTCATGGGGAAACTTTTAAGCTACTGCATGGTATCTTTTTGATCATACCATCTCTTGTGAAAGTTTTCAAGCGGTACTGGTCAATTTCTCCACCCCCTTGCTTTTTTTAAAGCCTCATGACCAACTAGTTATTCACTTTTGGCTTTTCTTTCAATGGACAAGTAACTATGTTTAAACCAGTTTTGGGCAGCATGGTAAAATATTATCTCGTATTTTTTTTGCCCTTTTCCCAAATTCTGCTTTGAGTATTTAAAATAATGCGTCAACATTACCAGAATCCTAGTATTTGCATCCACTTTTATAACATATGGAACAAAAGACACAGCTAAATAGTATTAATAATGATATAGTGAAAACATAGTCTTTAGATGTGAACATCATAATAGATGTCTCTTTAAAAAAAAAAAAACTAGAAAATAAAACAAAAATATGTAATTGATACACCCTTAAAAAATAGACTTGCATAATAACTAATTTGCTGTTCAGACTCTAATCAATACATTTTATTTCTAGGTTGGTCCCCTGTAAATGTGTGTGTGTGTGTATGTATATGAATAAATATATATATATATATATATATATATATGGATAGATGTGAGTTTGTGACCCTGGGTTTCATGCTTTAGCAATCGTCAGACAAACTGATTAATGTTTTAAAAATTTGAGTTTATGAAGATTGCGTGTATTTGGTGAAGTGGTGGGGAAACTTGTCCCCACCACTTCCACACACCACTTCACAATAACACCAATACACTAATTACATAAACCCAAATTTTTAAAACATTAATCAATTTGTCTGACGATCACAAAGCGTGAAACCCAGGGTCACAAACTCACATCTATCCAACCAAATATATTAGCTCTATCTCTGATATTGAGCGCTTTTCTAATAAGTACCATGCATATAATATATAAATAATTATACATATATTTATTTATTTATATACACTTTTCACATACATACATATATATATATATATATATATTTATATATATATATATATATATTGCACATAGGAGCTGATGTTAATAAAATAGTGCTCAATATAATATAACAGTTATTAAGCATATATCAATAAATATACATATTATCCCTCGCCAATAGCTCAACCCAGAGTTTCATTCACAAGGTAATTTTCAGGTACCGAATAGATCCTGATCGTTACATAATTATGAAATTATGTATACACAAAATAAGCCATTTATCCTTTTTGATGCCAAACATAGTCCTTCATGCCAAAAGAGAAAAAAGGGAGGACAAAAGGCAATTATTTTATCTACCTTCACTCTTCGGCAATGTTTATTGTTTTAAAAAGCAATGAGTAGAATTGTAATAAAATCTAAACATATGAAAGTGAATTTTCTTTGTTCTTGAGAATTGACAACAAAAATAATAAACATTATTTATTTATTCAGTCAGTTATGTGATACATCCTTAGGTGATCATGTATCTTTCCCACAGTAGGTTGCCATTTCTTTCTGCAGTAGACCAGTTGCCATCTAAGGCTATAGAACTTGGTCTGTCCTGCTATTTCCCCATAGCTAGGGGGAGAAGAGGAGGATTCATACTTTTCCCAAGGGTATTAGCACATAAGTGAATGTAATGGATTCAACTGGAATTAGAACTTGGTTCTCCAATTCCTCAATCTGAAATGCTATCCATTACTCCACCATACCTCCATTTATTTATTAATTAGATTGTTTATTTAAACTATGAGATTGTTTATTGGAATTTCTGGTGTTCATAATACTCAGGAAGTGAAATAAATTCTACTGAAAAGGATGTGAAAATTCATATAGCTCAAGCCTGGGCCACCTTGAATAAAATGTATGTAATCTGGAAATCTGATCTACCAGACAACCTCAAGTGGAGATTCTTTCAAACCACTCTAGGGGAGGTGTTAATGTATGGTGCCACTGCCTGGACATTAACTAAAACACTACAGTCTAAGCTTGATGGAACTTACATTCAGATGCTGAGAGCTATACTTAACAACTAAATAACAGCTCTATGAACCCATCCCTGATATTTCTACAATCTTCTGTGAACGCAGAATGCAGGACACTGCTGGCGAGCAAAACAAAAACTTGAGTGATCTACTGCTCTGGACACCTAGCCAGGGTGGAAATTGGGATGGTTGCACAGCAACCACCTACATTGACCAGCAATGTTATGACACAAAATGCCACCCTAATGACCTCCCAACTTTGATGCCGGACCATAATGGTTGGCATGATAGTCTCGTGAATGTTTGAGCTAGCTTAGGTACCTTCATGAGATCACTAAAAAAGAATATAACATGATGAAAAAGATGCCAAACTTGACGAAAACAAAACTTTATCATCTAAATATTTATGCTATTATTAAGAGGAAAGAAAGTATTTTTGGAGTATTTTTTTACATTTTTTAATCATTCCTAGCACATCCAAAATTTTCATTAAAAATCTTGTTTTTTTTAGTCAGCAAAATTGACAGATAATCGATATCATGACAGCCATTTTTTTATAATTTATAAAAAAAAAAAAAGTCACAGTTTGAAATTCTTTTAAAAATCAACTATAATTTTTTCAAAACTTATTTTAAGAAAATCAGAAATTATAATGTTTATTTACAATATTTTGAAGCAAGCTTAACTTAGTTTCTGCACCGAAAGAACATAGTTTTAAATAAAACAAAGCAGATCATAACCTTTTGCGTCACTTGACAAGGTAATGAAAGACATTCGTGACGTTTTGACAGCTTACGTGAGGATAATTCCTTCTACGGAAGGAGAGATGGCAAGTTATTTAGATTTAAGTGAACAAATTGTTTACCTCATTATTTTTAAGGCAAACTTTCAGCATTTTAATTTTTTTTGTACTTAGCTTTCATCTTAACGTTTACGATGCTTTATGGAAAATATATTATAAAGAAATTAAAATAAGACTGTTGATAGTGAGATTAAATTTCATAAGAAAGGTATCTAATTAATTTATAGGTACCTTTCTCATGAAATTTTATCAGAAGTGTACATAAAATACAAAATTTAAATTTCATAAGATGATACTGATACTTGTAGGTACCCTTCTCAGTTGAAATTGAAAAATCAAATTAACTTCTCCACACGTGTTTTGCAAAAATAAATCTATATCTCAAAAGGACATTTACGAAACTGAATGCGGCTTTTAACTAATTTTATAATATTTTAAAAACTTATATGTAAAAATCTATTATAATTAAAGAAATAACAAATAATTGTATTAAAAATTCAGTATTTAAGTTAAATACTAGACAGAAACTCAATCCACATGACGTTTTTTTTATTGCATGCATGATACTTCTGGTCTTCCATAGATTTGATTTACAGTGTTATTATTGACACAAATTATATTTTTTTATATACTGTTCGTTAGTTTGTAAAAAGCTTTGGAAATTATAATCTGTAAATATATATCTACTTAATAACAATATTCGTTAAATTTTACAAATTTTTTCCTAATTTTAGAAGAATTAACAACATTTAATGTAAAAAATAATAAAATATTTCAGAAATAACAAATAATTGTTTTAAAAATTCATTTTTCATTGAAATATCTTTTTGCTTTCAGACAATATTGTCCATGTTTATTGAAATAAATAAATAAATAAAAGCAATTAAAAGCTTTTGAAATTAAATAAATATAATTGTAACATACAAAACTCAATAAGAGTTTTGTATGTTACAATTCAGAGACAATTTTCAGGTAGAGGTGGTCCAACTAAAAAAAAAAAAAAAAAAAAAAACATGAGCTCAACTGAATAATAATTTAAAATGGTCAGCAAAACACCAGCTATTGTTTCAAACTTTATAAAATGGTAAATAATAAGGATTTCCTTATAGTTGACTCATATTTTAATAATTTAGTAAATGTTTATAAATTTATGAATAAAAAATTGTTTTCATATTTATTTTTTTAAAATGTAAATATAAAATTATTCTTGTAAATAAACAATTTAAAAAATAGTGTTTAATATTTTTGTTGTAAATTCTCAAGAACAAAAAAAAAAAAATGTATAAATTCACTTTCATCATATGTTTAGATCTGATTTTATTATAATTCTAATCATCACTTTCTAAAACAATAAACATTGCCAAGGAGGTTAGGTAGTTAAAATTAATGTCAGTGTCAATAGAAAAACCATCCTTTTTGACACTTTTTTTTTTTTTTTTTTTTTTTTTGTGGGCACAAAGTTCCAAGTTTTCCAATAATATACAAATGCATTCACAAAATAAATAAGCCATTTATCCTTTTTGCCTCTTCTGGATTAATACTATACAAACACACATACAAAAGATGCTACCTAAAAGTTTGTTTTCAGGCAGCAAGGGGATTTTGAGGAATATGAAACCACCTCTTATTTGCTGGTGTTCCCAGGTCCATTGACCTGGGCTGGTAACATCTGTTAAGGTCCCAGCTATGGGCAAATAGTTAACCCCAAACTAGGGTTAAAACTATGAAAGTATAAAAATAGTTTTTAATACCAGCAATACATTTTTGGAAAAAATTATTAGCAATACATTTTTGGAAAAACATTATTAGCAGTACATTTTTGAAAAAAAAAATATTGCTGGCATAAAAAATCTTGTCAGCATTAAATAACCTATTGCAGTTGATATGCCATAAAACCAAACCAAACCATCCTTTGCTTACTATTTGCATACTACTTACAAAATTTGTACTACATTCAATTCACAGAATCTGAACATTTGAATATGGCATGGTACCTCTCTCTTTCACACACAGATAGTAAATATCTAAGGCAATTTGGAAAACTTTTATTTTAACAGTTTTAGCCAATGGATCAGATTCATCAGAAAA